GGGAGGTCCAAAAAGGACATTTTGGCTTTATGAAAGAAAGAGTCTGGAAAAAGCTGAAAGGGTGGAAGGAAAAAACCTTATCACAGGCTGGAAGGGAGGTATTAATCAAGGCAGTAGTCCAGGCTATCCCCACATATGTGATGTCTTGTTACAAGCTCCCTAAAACTCTATGTGAGGACATCCAAGCTCTCATCCGAAATTTCTGGTGGGGACAGAGAGGGTCGGAAAAGAAATTGTGTTGGATGAGGTAGGATAAGTTATGTAAGACAAAGTCAGAAGGAGGCTTGCGCTTCAGAGACATGGAGGCCTTTAACCTAGCGTTATTAGCAAAACAAGGGTGGAGGCTGATAAGGAATCCTCAATCCTTGGCAGCTAGAGTTTTGAAGGCTAGATATTTTGGAAGGACTGATTTTCTTCATGCCAAACTAGGGAGCAACCCATCTTACTTATGGCGAAGCTTATTAGAGGGCCAGCATTTACTAAACAAAGGCATTGTGTGGAGAGTGGGTGATGGCACCAACATACAGGTATGGGATGACCCGTGGATCCCTTGTCCTCCCTCCTTTAGGGTATCTCAACATTTCAAAATGTTGTGGCCAGATGCTAGAGCTTGTGATCTACTTGACACCCATTCTGGGGGCTGGAAAATGGACCTGCTGAGTGCTTTATTTTTGAGTCATGAAATTCAGCATATCTAGGCCATTCCGTGTTACCCATGGGGGTTTAAGGATGAGCTAGTCTGGTATTACAATAAGAATGGCTGTTTTGATGTACGCTCAGCGTATCACTTATCGAGATCCCTGTAGAGTTTGGAGGAAGGTGGGGAGGGTGCATCATCCAATAGTAAAGAAAAGTCTTTCTGGGTTAAGATTTGGAATTTGAGTATTCCTCCAAAAATCAAAGTCTTTGTTTGGAGAGCTTGCTCTGGCATTCTGCCTACTGGACAGAACTTATCAGCTAGACTTCGGATGGGGATAGCAAGCTGCAAGTGGTGTGGTTGTGATAGTGAGACTGATAGACATATATTTTTTGAGTGTGGTTTTGCTCAGGAAGTCTGGTTGGCAATAGGGATGCTAAAAGCAGTTAGTAAGCTTGCTGTTTCCAACTTTAAAGACTGGTTGGACTGCTTTCTGAAGCTTAAAGGGAAAGAAACAGTAGTTCTCGTTGCGGTGACCATGTGGATGATTTGGAGATGCCGGAACCAAAAAATTTTTGAAGGTAAGAATTGGGACGCGACCCAAGTGGCTGAATTTGCCAAGGCCTTCTTACATGAGTTTTGGAGTATCTACAACGTGAAGGGGGCACGCAGGAATATAGAGTACCGTAGATGGGTCGCACCAGCGGAGCACCAACTCAAACTGAATGTGGACGGAGCTTTTTCTAATGGTGCAGCTGGAGTTGGTGTAGTAGTCAGAAATCATCTGGGCCAAGTGGAGGCTGTAATGGCAACACATGTGACTGGTGCTCTTCATGCAGAACATATGGAATGTTTGGCATTTCTAAGTGCTTTGGAGTTTGCTAGAGATTTTGGAATCGCTCACTTCTTGTTGGAAGGGGATGCTTTTAATATTGTAGAGAAGATTAACAGCAAAGAGCCTGATCTGTCAGTGATTGGTATCTTAGTTCGTGCTATTAGAGCACTCATGACTACTTTTGATTTTATAAGTGTTAATTATGTGAGGAGGACCAACAATGTTCTTGCCCACATTGTGTCTAAAATGTCTTTGTCTCTTGAGGGAAGTAGAGTATGGTTTGTGGACTTTTCCAAGGCTGATACGGATGCTGCTCTTCAAGATTTAGCATGAATGGAGGTTCTTGATTTTTCAAAAAAAAAAAAAAAATAACAGCCTTTTAAGGTTAACAGTTTTCTAATATTTGACTTTGAACCCTTGATGTTTTGAAAAACTATAAATACATTCTTAAACTTCTTATATACGCCTTAATTTTGTGCAAGACTTATCATCTAGAAAAGATTTAGACTTATAAAGGTGCTTTTGAATTGTCGAAAAATTAACAATTAATTTGAAGATTAATTTTTTTTTTGTTTTACACAAGATTCCTTTTAAGTATTTAACCATGATTTATCATTTGTCAACTTTCGAATTTGGTAATTTTTTATTAATTTGTTGGACAAATTGAAATAACTGATATATTTACAGTCTTTTTTAAATAAAAATTAATATATATTTATAACGTCACCTAATTTTAGTACGGGTCTGACCCACTCGAGCCCCTGAACCCTTGATCGCCAAACTATGTCGGCTCACGCCAGGGTCCTCGGCGTGAGTTTCACTCCCCGGATCGAGTTTCAAAATATAGGTAATTAGATAGATAAGGTAGTTTAATCACCGGCCAGAGCTTCGGGCCGAATCAGAGATTCAATGGCTCCGTTTGGATTAGCTGTTTTTGGGTTTGTTTTTCAAAAACACCACTGTAGCATTTTGAATCTGAAAAACAAGTCCGTTTGGATTAGTTGTTTTTGGGGTTGTTTTTTAAAAACTATATGAAAAACTTTTACTGTAGATTTTTTGGATTATTTTTAGAGGTATTTTTGAAACATATTTTTGAGTATTTTTAGAATATTATAATTTTTATATTTTTATATAAATATACATTTATGCATTTATAATCCATTTATATTTACAAATGTATAGATGTATATTATTATAAATGAATATTACATAAATGTATAAATTATAAATTATAATTTTTATATTTTTATATAAATATGCATTTATGCATTTATAATACATTTATAGATATTTATAAATAAATATATTTATATATTCATATAAAAATATATAAATGTATTATATTATATATAATACATAATATAAATATATTTATAAATGTATAAGTGTATATTATTATAAATGTATAAATTATAAATGATTATTATAAATATATTATAAATTATAAGTGTATATTATTATAAATGTATAAATTATAAATGAATATTATAAATGTATAAATTAATATATTATAAATATATATTAATATTATGTAGAAATGTATTTATATAATTAATATAAATGTATATATGTATTGATATTATGTATAAATGTAAAATTAATATTATGTATATTAATATAAATGTATAAATGTATTAATATATATAATACATAATATAAATGTATATTTAAATGTATAAGTGTATGTTATTAAAAATGTATAAATTATAAATGAATATTATATAAATGTATAAATTAATAAATTATAAATATATATTAATACTATGTAGAAATGTATTAATATAATTAATATAAATGTATACGTGTATTAATATTATGTATAAATATAAAATTAATATTATGTATATTAATATAAATGTATAAATGTATTATATTATATATTATACATAATATAAATGTATATTATAAATATACATAAATATTTATATATTATGTATAAGGGCAAATTATCTGATTGGCCCTTTAACTCTTTGTCCAGGTAAAATTAAGCCCCTCAACTATTTTTTGATGACTTTAAGCCCTTGAACCTGTAAAAGTGGAAAATCGTGGCCCTTTTACCCAATTTCTCCGGTTTTGCAACCGGAGGACCAATTCACACGCATGCAAGTGTGCTTCTTCAAAGGGCATTTTTGTCCGCCTGTTCTAAACAAAAAGGGCACAACTCCTTCCTCCTTCTTCTTCTTCTTTTCTTTCTTCTTTCTTCTTTTTTCTTCCCGCTACCTCTGTTTTGCTCTGTGCCGCCGCCCGTGCTCGCCGCCAGCTCCAAATCGATCTCGCGCTTCGCTCTCCCCACCACCAGCTCGACATCACTCCAGACGCCACCTCTGCCCCAGCTAAACTCTTCCGCCACCAGATCTGCTGCTCCCACGAACCCCCTGCATCTGCTGCTGCTCCTCTGCCGCTGACCAGTCGCGCGCCGCCATCTCACCAGCAACCCCAGCCGGTCGCGCCCCAGCCTCTGTGCCGCCGCCGCTCACTCCCAAAGCCACAGTCGCGAGCCCCCTCTCCCTTCGCGCGAGCAGCCCGCCGCCATTTCGCTCGACTGAGCCCATCGCGCGCCCCCATCGCACGCCATTAGAACAGGCGGACAAAAATGCCCTTTGAAGAAGCACACTTGCATGCGTGTGAATTGGTCCTCCGGTTGCAAAACCGGAGAAATTGGGTAAAAGGGCCACGATTTTCCACTTTTACAGGTTCAAGGGCTTAAAGTCATCAAAAAATAGTTGAGGGGCTTAATTTTACCTGGACAAAGAGTTAAAGGGCCAATCAGATAATTTGCCCTATGTATAAATGTACATTTATATAAATGTATAATATATTATACATTATATTATATATAATTTATATAACATATAATATTTATGTAAATATATTATAAATATATAAAAATATATTATAAATAAAATAAAATATTTATAATATGTATGTATAAATATATAATATTAGAAATGTATAATATATATAATATACATTATTATTAATATAATTTATGTATAATATACATAATTGAAATATACATATTAATATATATTAATATATATTATAAAACAAAATTGAATAAATATATTTATAAATTTATATATAAATAAATGTATTTATATAAATATATAATATTTATTTCAATTGATATAATATATATAATATTATACATAATTGAAATAAATATAATTATATTAATATAATATATATATAATATACATAATTGAAATATACATATTAAAATACATAATTGAAATATACATATTAAAATACATAATTAAAATTACAAATTGAAATATACTTATTAAAATATACAAATTAAATATACATAATTGAAATATATTTGGAATTGTTTTTGATATATTGTTTGGATATGGTATTTTTAAAGTTATTTTTGAAATACATATTAACAGTTTTTCAAAAATAAGTGCAAAAACACTCAATCCAAACGCAGCTGTGTAATTAGATAGAAACGGTAGAAAGAGTTTTATCGTTTTATGACTTTATCCAGCTCTTTTGTTGGTCTTTATATATTACCACCCTTTTCACGATCGATTTGCTCTAGTATCTTCTCCTTTCATATCATTTCACCTCCACCATGGACGAAAAAGAAGCGCCACCTCAACCACCGCCGACCGCCTTTGCTCACCACCACTTCTCTCCTTCAACTACATGCATAAACTGCGGCGGGCCCACCGCCTACCCTACGCCACCGCCGCCTTCCTCCAACCTAACCTATATCCCCATCCGCTTCCCGGCCGTCAATCTTCCTACGAATCCAACCAACACCAAAGAAGCCATTATGCGAACTCCGGTGCCACAGTCCCAAAAAGTGGTCCCGCTTCAACCACCTTACAGCTTCCAAACCCCAGTCAAGATAATCTCCAGCCAGAACGACATCGTCCGGCTCCACTCCTCTCCTACTTTCGCCAACTTCCTCGGCTTCGTCGTTTCCCTTTCCGAATCCATCAAATCTCACAAGCTCTCTGATCCCTGCCACGTGTCTCCCGCCGTCTGCACGATCGTTGATGTGATCGAGAAGCTAATCGCGTTCGTCGATGAAATTCCTCCGGCACCCCAGTCTGCTCGCTACGGCAACGTGGCGTACCGGACGTGGCACGATCGCATGAGCTCTGATGCTGAGTCGTTTATGCTGCTGTTGCTTTCTCCCGATCTTCGTGACGCGGCTGTTGAATTAGTGCCCTATTTTACCGACAGCTTCGGCAATTCAAGCCGCATTGATTACGGTAATTATTCTGATTCAACTTTTTTTTTTTTTTAATTTGGGTGTAGTTTTACTTTTGTTTATCTTTTTTCCCCCCTAGTGAGTACAACGGTTGCTTTTTTTTTTTTTTTTCCCTTTGGTCTTCTTTTTCTTTCTTTGTTTTTCGGTAGCCTAATGCACAATGGTTGGAAATTGTTGAATATTATTTGGAGTTTTGTTGGTATGGATGAGTAACTGATAAGTACATCATTTGAATGGCTTGAGTTGAACATGGCGCCAAAAGACAAATATTAAGAAAAGAAGGAGAGGCATGGAATGCTGTACTAGTTGGCATCTGTGGTAGTAAGACTGATTTCTTGTTTATAGAGTGACATGAATCAGTTGAGGAGGGATGACCACTTTTGTCCATTCATGGCATTACTTTTTTCAAGTTACTTGTGCTCATAAGGTATCAGAGTGTTCCAGTACCCATAAATTGCATATAGGATGTTGAAAGTTTTGCAAAATATTGGAGCCTTTAATTATATGAGTTCATTAGTGATTCATGCTGTTGAAACGACTACGCTATGAGATGATAGATCTAAGTGTCAGCATGGTTTTATGGTAGATTGTAGTTTGAGGAACATACTCATTTGTTATATAGACGTAAATATTGTCAAATGTCTTTTAGTTTACATAGGAAAAGCGATGTTTTATTTCCTAAAAATATACTTCATGCTATTTTAAGGAAAGCGAGTATAAAGAATATACATGAAGTTGTAGCTATTGAATTATGACTTCAGTAGTGGGATGGGTAATAGAGGATGAGTTGGAGAATACTTTTATGATTGGTAAGCTATCAACTGTAGTCGATGGTTGGAGTTTTACTCTTATTGAATCTTAGGAAGGTTGAATTTCCGTTGCACTAACAGATTCTTCATGTTATCATGAAATTCTTTTTTAATTTTTTAACATATTTTTATTAAATTCTTTTTGAATTTTATGTTCCTAAATTCATTTTTGAATTGGATGATGGTAGATGTTAAGTTGATTATTTGATGGTCAAGTCCATAGTCTGTCACTCATTACCTTACAGTACCTATTGGCTTGTTAGGTTGAAGGTAATTTCTATAAAACAGTTATTCTTCAAGGAGCAAAATGTTCGACAATCAGCAAGTACAAAACATACTAGAACTCTGAGTTGGATAGTTATGTAGCAAACACTAGAAGGTAGCATCAGAGAAGGTAGCACTGCACTTGATATCCTAGACCGACCACGTACCTGCGAAGGTTATTATTGTGCCTAGGGTGATAAATTAAAAGTTGACGGAAGATGGTGAATTGTTGCTGCATTTACCTATAATTAAGCTCTGACCCAAAGCAGCAAAGTGTCGAAGTTTGGTCAGAGGTAGACCAAGGACATTGTCTAGAGAGGCTGTTCCTTTTTATTTTTTTTTTCTTTTTGGTGTTGGTCAATTTGCTGTTTAGAAACCGTATGCACCATGTAGATATTGCCCAAGCAGTCCAGTATGCTACATTTGTCTGTGAAACTTGTTTTTCTTGTTTCATGTCGTTGTACCTACTTGCCATACCTGCTTGCTAAGACATTTTGAATGCTTTAGTCCTGATTCTTGGTTTAGTTCTTTGGCACAATTGGGCATCCTTTCTAACATATGACAAGACAAGGGACGATAAATGTCTTACCTTAATCCAAGCAGTGAAAATAACATAAAACTGGGATTTTGTTGATTTTGCAAGCAGCTGTGATTGTTGGCATTGCAGTTTTTCCCCTTAATTTGCCATTACCTATGTTCATATGCTTCTATTTGGGTTATTCATAAGTACGTTTGGTTGAAATGGCTTTCATTACTTTTTGCATCTTCCTTTTTTGTCGTGATAGGTACTGGTCATGAAACAAACTTTGCAGCATGGTTGTACTGCTTAGCGAGATTGCAAATAGTTAAGGAAGAAGATTATCAAGCACTAGTTTCCCGGGTTTTTGTGAAGTACTTGGAGTTGATGCGGAAGTTGCAGTTGACTTATTCTCTCGAGCCTGCAGGATCCCATGGAGTATGGGGGCTTGATGACTATCACTTTTTACCTTTCATATTTGGGTCTTCACAGTTGATTGACCACAAGTATATGAAGCCGAAATCAATTCATAATGAGGATATATTAGAGAATTTCGCAAGTGAATATTTGTACCTTTCATGTATTGTATTTATAAAGAAGGTTAAAAAGGGATTATTTGCTGAGCATTCACCAATGCTGGATGATATTAGTGGTGTGCCAAATTGGAAGAAGGTTAATAGTGGGCTCTTAAAGATGTATAAAGTGGAAGTTTTGCAGAAGGTTCCTATCATGCAACATTTTCTCTTTGGCTCCATTATCAAATGGTAAGCTTTCGGTTTTCATGTTTGCTTGGTGAGATTAGCCTAAACTGAATTTTGTGCTCATTGAACTGCTGAGCATTTTTATTCTGGTCAGAAATTGAGCACTATAGGTCCTTCCCCCCATTCAAGATGTTTTACTATGGGTACTGGTGGTGTAGCTCACATCTTAATTTCCTTCTACTCATTGTTCAGCAAGTTTGATTTTGTTTTTGGAGGATAAAATGGAAAGATTTTCTGACAATGAGCCGTTAATGTGCTTCGGGAAAATGTTCATTAGTTGTTAAATTTTGCATTTCAGTAAACTGCAAATCTCTTGTTCGTCAGATATATCTAACTTGAATAAAATTTTGGACCCATGAAGTGTGCCTTGTATCATTGGATACAAAAGAAATTAGATTCCTGAATAAGCTTTTTATTTTTGTGTTTTAATTTGGAATCTATATTATGCTTATTGGTTTGATGAATTTTTATGACTACCATGCGCTGGCTTTTTTTTGTCTGTTGAGAAATTGATTTCTTTTCCTGTTATAAAGATCTTTAGCATATGCTTACAAATGGGTAGGATCACCACTTTAATGCATGCTTTTTCTTCTTGAAAATTTTGGAGTTAAACATGTGCTACAAAGTTGAATGTCCCATTTTGACATAGTTGTTCTTGTTGGTACAATGATGTTGTTATCTATGTATGTATAGTTGGACGAGATTAACGGATATATCGCTAGGGTTCATGGAGGAGGGTATTAAAAAGAAAAAGGAATAACTGATATATTGTTAGCTCATGCTATTAAAGTATCTAATTCTTAACGAATGACTGGAGTGCTGGTCTTTTTAGATGGGTGTTTTTATAGAACTTGAACAGTAGATAGGTGTTTTAATGAAGTATCTCATGTGGTGTTTTAGGAGCGTTTTTTAGTGTGTTTTCGAGTGCTTTTGGAAGATCGCTGTATGCTTACTTCGCTGCCCCTCCGCCACCCACCTTCTCCCCAACCACTTACCTTTTTCTCCTCCCTTCTCCCTCCCCCTTCCTCAGCACCCCCCCCTCCTCTTTAGCCTTCCCTTTTCCCCTACCATCTGCCCTTCCGTTCCTCCCTTCTCCCCTGCCACTTTTTTCCTCCTCATCCCCCTCTCCTGCCTTTCCCTCTCTTCTCCCCCATTGTTTAGGGCACAGAAAAGGGAAATTGGAGGTGTCGGGGGAAGGAGGGGGATGGTGGCACTGGGAGGGAGGGGAGATGGCGTGGTGGTGGGGCTGGATGGTGCTTGGTGGGGAATGGGGAACTGATGTGTTTGTGTTTTGGGTAACTTTTTTTACTTTTTTTTTGGGTGTTCTTAGGTGTGTGTTTGAGTGTTTTGGGGAGGGTTAATGTAGACATATGTTATGGCAAAACTAACAAAAAAAAGAGTTAATCCAAGAATCTGTTTTTCAAATTTTATATTGAAGATGGCCTAAATGGATTTTTTTAAAAAATAAAATCTAAACATCTGATAAACTTCTTGTCATAACAATCTTCACAATGAGCGGAAGATACCAAACTATAGCGGGTGTAGAGTGGTGTCTAAGATGTATTATTTTGCCTTTTATCGTAGCCTGCTAGATCATGAATGTAGGAAGAAAACGAAAGCAATTATATGCAGGTTTTGAGCCTTACACGTAATTTTGTTGCATACGATACCTCAAGTATTTAAGAATTGACCTCATGCTGGAGTTGCAACAAGGGTGATGCTACAAGCTTCTATTTTTTCTCCTTCTGCAAAGTGAGCTCTAAATTCTAACATATGAAAAGTAATAAGAGAATACAATTAAACTGATTATGTGGGACTCTTTTTCTCTCCTCTGAATCTCCCTGTGTCTTCACTCTTTGCCTTTAAATTTTTTATTGGGTTTAACCGAATTTTGATCTTGTCCAGCTTCTTATCCTTCCAATCTGGTAGAAGATCTTCAGGATGAAGTTTCTCGTTAATATTATATGATTAGGTTTATTCATGAAACGAGTCAGTTGCCCAAACGAAATGAGTCAAAATTTCATGGCAACTAACAGCACCTTAGGCAAAAGTTGTCTATTTGGTGTGTGCTCATGTGGGAAACCAAGAAATGCCAGTCCTTGATGCAGCTTTTGTTAGATCAGGTAATTGGAATTGAAGGCATATCCAATCAATAAACTCAAACCTTGCTCTTACTGCATAGAAAGCAGTGCTATTCTCAAGTCTCAGTCACTCCATTAGATATCTGAAAATTGGTGTCCAAAATTTGCTTAGGGATTGCAAAGCTTGCCTGGAAAATAATCAGGGAAGCTCTAGATATTTTCTAGTTCACCAGAAAATCTGGTCATTGCCACTTAAAAAACTTTTGGAAAGCTGTACAAAATGGCTTTCTTAAGTTGCCACAGAATCCGGTTATTGCCATCATGGGTGAAGAAATTTGCTGCATGCAGAGTTTGAGCGGAGAACTGCTTTAGCCTTTTATGTAAATTATTGTGTCTTTAATACTTGAAATAGATAGTCCAAAACTACTTTGTGCAAAAATGGAATGGAGGGCCCTGCAAGATCACATTATTCTTCTTCGTCTTAGGATGTGTTTCTCTGTTGGTCATCTTCAGAATGGCGAAGGACTGGGGAGATTATGGTGGTGGAAAGTTTTTTTTTGGGGGGTGGGGGGGGGGGAGTTAGCAGAAGTGGGGATTGCAATGGCTGTGCTTGATGGTGTTGTACTCTGAGGAGCTGCAAGGTTGGGAAAAGGGAAAAGTTAGATTGAGGGTGGCAGGGTTCAGGGTTTATCAGTGTTCATGATGATGGCATTTGGAGTTACAAAGCAGAAGTGCGTGGAGTACTAATTCTTATTCTATTTGGTTTTGGATAATTACACTGAAGGGAATCAAATACGTCTCTTCCCTTTGGTAGCCCTTAAAATGGTTCATGCAGTAAAACTTGAAGGACTAAATAGTTTCAAATGAAACTTAATGACTACCTTAAACAATTGCAGATAGTTCAAGAAGTACTTATGGCAATTTTCGCGAAATCTCTAATCCTTATGGACTTTTGATGAATGTTGCACTTGAACATGATGATTTGCACTTGTTTGGCATTATAGTTTTCTTTGTTTCATACAGCTACATCAAGTTTTCATCCATTTATGTGTGTGTCTCTTGTTTTTCTTTTCTAAAACCAGAGAATCAAAATAGACTCTGAACTGTTGTTTACAAAGCTAAGGATATTAGTACTTACTGTACATGTTAGTGTTTCTTGGAGATTTTGATGCAACTGTCTATAGTTACGATTATTTGATACTCTTTTTATGCTTGTATCTAATGGGGATGACATCAAAATATATCTTAAATTGCATGTTGGATTGCCAAGTCATTGTATACATCTTTTGATAAATTTGTGACTGTTCACATTATGATCCTTCCCATGGAAGTATAGAAAAATCAGCAGAGTTCTCCATTTTGGAATTGTCTTGATTTTGTCTATTATACCACGTGCTTTTCCTGTATGAGAATTATTTTGTGAAACTGATGCCTGCATGCCTGGATATGGTAGTACAGATAATTCATTTAGAGATAGTGATGCACACCGAGCAAGCTAAAGGTATGCTGGTTTAACTTAATTTTCTTGGTGGTAATGACTAAAGAATGCCTAATAAATTAGGGCAGCAAGCTTAAGAATATGGAAAATAGGAAGACAAGTGGAAAGAAAAATTATAATTTCTAGAAAAGTATTGGTTTAGATTCACCTCCTTTTTATTGTTGCAACAAAAATTAGCATACCGTTCAGAAGATGCACTAACATCAGATTAGAACATGTTATTATCTCTTCGATATTCAACATGCCAATAATACTAGTTTAATGCAAGCTTTTGTACAGCAAGTAGGATTTTGAGGCCCATCTGGCCAAGAGGTAATGTAGACTAATTAGGTCAGACAATTTATGAGACAATGTAACTTAAAGGTGAAGTAGACATCGGTGGTAGGTTTCATAGGGAATTGAGTTATATTACTTGGACATTTCTGTGCGTGTTGGGTCTTTCTTTTGTCTGAGAAGTGTAGATTTGAATTTTAAGTGTCTGATTTGGTATGGGTTAAGGCACATATTCTATAGCTCCAACAATGAATTCAAGAAACACAAATTCAGCTAAAATACTTTCATACCTTGGCAACAACTTATCAAAGTTCAGATGCAAATCCAGCCTCTCTCTCTCTCTCTCACACACACACATGTGTGTGTATAACCTTTTGTCAGGTGGGTCTTAACTAAGTTACAGATGATTCTATGCCATAAATAATTTGGTCTTCTGCAGTAAGTGGGTTCAATGTGGAGATGGCTTTATTTAAACATGTCTGTACTTGAAAAAGAGGTTAGAAGGAAAAGAACTGTGGGTTTACAAAACCTTCAAACTTTTGATGATTCCCAGGAAAATGTTTATAAAGGTACATGACAGTCAGCAACATAAACATGTCTGCCTCCCTCTGCTCCTCCTCGTCTCCTCAGTGGTCCACTGCTAATCAACTGCTGCCATCATAACTCCAGTTTGCCGAGAGGAAATAAGATTTTTGGCTCCCTTTTTGTGGACCCTCCCCCCTCTCACCTTTTCTCTTCCCATGCCATGAACCGTCTTTTCCATCACAGTAGAATCATTATCTTCTCCACTGTTACATCTATGTCCATGTAGAAGAATGCAGCTATGTCTTTTAGTAGAATGTCAGCATACCAATTATTTTGGACCACATCAGCTGCAAATTCCACACCCATGTATGGTTGTGTCGACGCAAGTGTGCAGGGGTTAAATGGCAGTTTGAATTGTCGTATAGTCTCATATTTTTTTGTTCTTTCGGAAAAAGCATTAAGCATGACATAAACCTTCTCCTAGTAATTGTATGCTAGAGATTGTTCTTAAGGTTTTGCAGCAATGGTTAGATGTGGTTCTAATTGTTGGTTCACATTCCCTAGGATATTCTTCAGTATGGCAATTATGGTCATTTATTGATCTACAGTGAAAAATACGGTGTCCAGCTCCATAAATAGTATTTTGCTTTCTTATGAAAGTAGTTCATCCACATTTTATGTCGTAAATATCAAATATTATATCTCTTAGCATTTCCTATATAGTAAAAATTATTCTACTAGATCATTTTGTAAAAAGTATTCTCCATAAATAGTAAAAATTATTCAACTAGATCATTATCTCTGAGCATTTCCTATAGGTTGTCCAGCTTCATCAGTAGTATTTTGCTTACTTATGAAAGCAGTTCATCCACATTTTGTGTCATAAATATCAAATATTATATACTTTGCATTTCCTATATTGGTAAAAATTATTCTACTAGATCATTTTATTCTCCTCATTAATCTAGATACTTATATATTGCTCTTTTCTGCATCAAATTGAAATAGAGCAAATAGGATACTCCTTTTATTTGAAGTTGTTAGATACCTACAACAAGATTGGCTAAATAGTATCTCTCCCAGAAAAGCACTACTCAGGGTTGCCCCTTTTGTTTAAACTAGTCACCTACTTATGCTGCCCATAGGGGACCATGTGGGCGCCATGAGTACTGTTCATAAGAGCAACTCAGCGTTTTTATATGATAGGATTCCTTTTTCTCAATTTGAAAGTTATCACTTAGTTTCATGACTAAGTAATCATGGCTACTAGTGAAAGGAGGCAGCAGAGTAATGGTATAGTAAGCATAGGCTATATATATGATCGACTAGAGATGCATATTAAAAAGAGTTGTCATGGAGAACTGGAACCCTATAGTGAGAGGAAGCTACCGCTATTAAGATAGATATTCATAAGAGCAATTGAAATTCTTTGGACGTAGCTGAAAGGTACTCCGGAGGAAAATCATGATAAGCCCTGCTTTGTAGTTCAACTATTTGGAGTTCTCTTCCAATCTATCATGTATTATACAGATGACATTAATGCCTTACATTTGAATCTGTGTAGCCATTGTATTGGTACTCTTCAAATGGTAGTTGCACCTATTTTTTGACAAAATTATAGAAATGACTGCAGAAGATGAAAATAAGTTTGTCTGGCATAAGGTTTGATTATTTTGATTTTAACTTGTTTCTGGGCAATTTAAGGGTTAAAGGGTGTTGAAAGATCTCCTAGAATTTATAGTTCAGTTCTTGAAGAATCTATTCTTTCTCAGAACATGCACATTTACCAAGTAGTGAAGTCCATTTTGCTGGTATAACTTCTGGAATTGGACATTTGTGAAGATTTAATGTGGATAAGTTTCATACAACATGAATTGACAAAGAGGCTAGATCAAACATTATGTATACACTCCTTCCAAAGAGTTGTCTGATGTCCTTGGGGTTGGGTAACTGTTAAAGCATCTACAGCAAGTTTTTGTTACTTCAATGGAAACAACACACATGAAAATCTGTGGGATAGCATGGTGACTGCAGTTGTGAATTGAGATTCTTGTTACATTATGTGGGGATTTTTACAGGAAATGAGAGTTGGCATGAGAAGTCCTGGAAAAAATTTTTTGGTTGTGGAAAGCCAATAAAAATCAAAGATGAGTTTTCTTCAACCCAAGGTGAGTTGCTCTTGTTCGCTGCAACTCCTCTACCATGCAACTCAGCTCTGGTTTTCATGCCTTTCACTTACTGTTCATCAACATTCATTGCCTCCTCTTTCATGAAGAATTAGGCAAATAAATCCCCATTCCACCTAAAATTCGAGGAATTCGTTGAGAGTTGGAATGAATTTGTAGACCGGGTCGACTGATCCGTTTTAAATTTAAAATATTTCTATAGGGCTTGATTGGTTCCATCAATCTAGCTATATGTTGTGTATTATCAACGATTTCTACATAAGGCGGAAAGATGATATCTTGAGCAGTTACATAGCTAGGACCCCTAATACAAATAGATACGTCACAAGCTCCATATGGATTACATCTCAATACAATTTCTTTTTATTCTATCTTAGAGAATTAAAACTAGTTTTGAGAAAAAAGAATGAAGAGGATTAGCTTTCTAGACTAGATAGAAGGAAAAGAAAAGAAGTTTATTTATTATTCGTCGTCTATAAATATCCAAATTTTTATGCCTAAAACACCATAGATAGTTCGAACTGTATAGGAACAATAATCAATTTTAGCTCACTATTCAATTTTCTTTTCTTAGAAGCTGAAAAAACTCATTTGCCAGATGGGGCCGGTGTCTGAGCATTTGGAGATATCCTTTCCCTAGTCAAGTGTGGTATTTCCATATTATATCACTCCCTTTAAATCCATTATCTTCTATCACTTCTTTAATGCCTATGTCTGTCTCTATCCAATTTCAAAGAGCCTCTTAGGTTTCATTCTTGCCATATAATCATGGATGAATGCTTATCTTGACAACTTCTTACTGTAACTTTTCTGTAAGGTTATGCATTTCATTTTCAAAGGAGCCTCTTCTTACTTGTGTGTCTGTTATTATTTTTTGCATTTTTGATTGTGAGAAGGTGCATAACATGGCAATAAAAGGAGTTAGAGAGTATAGGGAATTTGTGCAATATCCACAAGGTGAACCACAGCATCTGCTAAACTTCATACTGCTTTGATAGAGGTTAATCAAGATATTGAACAAAGTGCTCCAAAAATCTCATTTTCCAACTGTTGTCATTCTTCATCTTGTTCCAAAGTGTGAGATACATAGTAGTGGTGAAATACCATCAGAAAGACTCCAACTTTAAAACATCAAAATGAACAAAGCAGTCCACTGAACAGGACTGATCATAAGGTACTAAGAAATAAAGTTGGTTTAAATTGGGTTCTTTCACTTCTTATTCTTGCAGTTAATTGTGTACTTTTCGTCACTGATTCTTTGCAATGAAAGTTCTTAATCTCTTTTTAAAGTTACTTTGTCTCTTGTTGCCGTTTAGGTTTGGTTTGCAGTTATGCAGCTGCACGCCCCTTCAATCTTTGACTCGTAACTGCTCTTAGCATCTTTTGAGTTTTGATTAGTTTTTCTGTTATTGTCTGTTAGAAATTTCTCTCCTTGGTGGTTTGCCAAACTGGGTGTTCTACGGTTGTTTAGAAGCATAAGATCCTTTGCATCTGGATGTCTGCTATGCTTTTCTAGGTGCAAAAATATTCTTATTTAAGGAAAAACAAAATGATTTGTATGCAAGGCTTCGCCGTGTGTCTGTCTAACTTCATCACGTCTATCATTTGGCATTATACAGTTATTAGCCAATGACTAGTATGCCCGGGTGCAAGTATCAACCTTTTACAAAAGTTGTACTCAACGTATATTGGTGATATCACTTTCTTAAATCTATGTACTTTTTCTTTTCTGCAGGGAATGAGCCTGAGGCCTTTAACCTACAAACAGGATGGGAATGAAATTGGTGTAGTTGGAGTTCCAGGATAATTGATGTAGTAGTACTTGTATCCGCCACAAATTTTTATCGAGATAACATGTGTAATGATATTGTATCAGTAAATGGTTAAATAGAATTTCATCCGTTGCATTACAGAAAGTTGATGTTATCTTTTCCTCAATAATATGATTATTCCGAATTAGATCTAGAGTTTGCAGTTCTCTGTTAGATTATATTCTTGCTGTAGGTTACCGGTTTCTATAAGATATCATGCATGATGCTCTTAGGATAACAATTCGGGGAAAGTAGTTCGCGGAATAGCTTGTTTTCACCTTTTTTTGTTGGGTCCCCTTTAGACACCGGCTCTTTAAGCATTTGGTCGTTTTGGGATGAAGCTCGATTTTCTCTTTTCTGTGAATTGTATTTTTGTTGTAGTTCAAGTCCGCTTTGGTATGAAATAAGGATGCGGCAACAATTAAAAGTGTGGACTATCTACTTTTGCTGCAGAGTTGTACGAAATTCTTGGAAAGCTTTCTTAGTGGTCAACCATTACTGCCGCACTACTTTCCAGTTTCCACTGTCTCTATTTTGCAAGACTGCATATCGTCAACTTGCATCCAGAAGCTCCTATGCTTTGGGAAAGTACTAGGAGGGGATCACCAAATGTGCGGTGTGATGTTATAGAGGTAGAATGCATAGCATAGAGCCCATTGTAGGTGTATTTTTTTAAAATAAAATAGATAAATTGATAATTAGGAGTAATGATTTAAATAAGTATACCACATTAGCCAAGTATTTTGAGTCAAGTCCAATTATATTAATAAAGAATATAGTTAAAAAACTTCTACGAATTATTGCGAGTTGTATGCATAATTGGATACTATGTGTTTACAAAGTATGGTTCAAGATTGTATTTCTCAATCTCTTCCCAATGTTGAGTATTGTTTAGGAGTTTATTTGTTCTCCTCTTTACAGTGCTTATTCAAATAATCTCTTGCTCCATGTTTTTATACGGCATAAGAGGTAATGTAATTTTATGTTTAAGCCATATGAACTTTATGTATCATTAAGTATATAATTTGGACAGAGTAATAAAGAACTGCTCTGATTGAACTAAAAGGAATATTATACTACAGTATAAATTGAATTAGAATTGATCGATCAGGAAACAAATAAATACTACTTTCTCCACTATAATATGCAATTTGCAGGTGGCTGTGCTTGATATATGCATGTAATGGTGATAACGTTCTCTATTGTCATGGCCTTGTATGTGCCAAAATCAACTGTAAATTAAGCTCTTGTATGTTGAAACCAAACCTTCTCATTCGCCAAAATTAAGGATGACACCATGTAAAAATAGGAACGAAATTTGTGATAAGTTTTGAAGCCAAAAACTTGAGATTTGAGAAACAAAAATGAAAGAACTAACACTCCAATGGGAAGCAAATACGAAAAAGGAATTATTGATTAAGTGAAGAGGCCAATCAATCTCACAATTATTGACCACTATACCAGGGAAAGATAAATGATTCTCCCTCCGTCCCATATATTTAGTCATGTTTGAGAATATGTGTTTTTTATGCATAGTACACTCCACAAAAAAGTTTTTTCTTTTGTTTTACTTTTACCCTTAATCATGTACTAGTCAAAGTAAAAAGTAGAAAACAATCCCATCATATTTGTCTTTATGCATCATTAATAAAGGGTATAAGGAAAATTTCAGAGTATAAAGTAGTTAGAAATGTCAAACATTTTGGAACAGCAAAAAAAGGAAAGTATTACATTTTCATTGAGACCGAGGGAGTAGCAAATAGCAAAATGGTTCATATCCATGCTATTCATGGTTGGAAAACCATACCTTGCTTCTTGATAAGAATTCATGAGAAAGGCCATGTAGTAGCCAACCAACTCAAGCAGTTCATCAGCTTTCTCACTCTTCATCTTAAAATTTTAAAAGCAAATTCAGTCAGTAAGTACCATATGATTAGTATCAACAAGTGATTATTTAAAACACGATGAGTGAAAGAAATGCAAAGGGATTTAGAAATTTGAGGAATGAAAGCAACTGATAATAAGAGGGTTCAACACACGTAGTCCTCAACCAAAAGAGGGTTGAATTTAGGTAAGACTTGCTATTCATGAAGAATGATAATAATACCTAGACATTATTTGAAAACAAGCACAATCAAGTCATCCATGTAGTTTCCATCATTCAATAGAAAGCAATGAGGGGATAGGGAAGACTTGAAATTCAAGAAAAAAATCAGATTAATAGGAATACCTAAAACCAAGAAAAGATGTAAACCACCGACCAACTTGATATTAACTATTTAAACAGTTAATGAAATAGCAAGCTAAAGTTCCCATGGATTACATCATCTTCATCAAGAGAAAGCATACATCATTACATGCAATCTTGGACCAATCAGTAAAGTCAAGATCAACCAAAAGCTTTTAATGCATAACTTACTAATACAATTCCACAAGGCTTCCACAAATATAGGCTTCCACAAACATGCCTTTTTGAAATAGAAAATAGGGCTAAAATATAACAATTCTTAGATCCCGATTAAATTGGGGAATTTGTATTATAGGTCCAATTAAAAACAAAATTAAAATTTTTCTTGATCAAATAAATTGGGGAATTTGTATGAGTTAAGTTTCTTTAGAAAAAGTAACAAGTAACCGAGGATAGCATAAGATGCATAAGGTAATAAGTACCTGTTTAAGTTAAATTCTAAACTACATCAATTCAAAAGAAAACCTTGACTTGCGCTCCAAATCCAAAGCAAGCTGGAGGGCCTTGTAAAGGGTTTGACTTGGCATACAGACTGCAATATCCTTCAATTTTAGTTTGTAAAGAATCATGTTGATCATCTTCTAGTAGCTCAAAGACAATAGCGCGAGGCTAATTGTGATATTTCCATCACCACATACCTTGACTAATTTGCTCACGATAAGGTAAGGTGTCAGTTTAGATTCTTTATCCACTTTTTACCCTAACATCCATAAATAGCCTCCAATGACTTACCCAAAATCCATCAAGAGTTGTACAAAGAATAAAATGCTAAAATAAATTTGAAAAAAAAAAAAGAAGAAAAGAGAGCACAAAAACATTGAAACAATAGTTCCTACACATACCTTGAAGGCTCAATGAAGAAAACTAATCTCTTTATTTCTTTCTTCCTATATCTAACAACAATGTAGAGTAAACAAGCGTCGACTAGATGAACAGAATTAAAACAACCACATGGTAATAACATGAGAATGATTCAGAGAAAATTATTGAACTTAATCTCCATATTCTTTGACATTATTAGAAGTTGCTAATGAAATATACAACCCCACTATGTTTTCTTTGCTTTTTTGGCTTTAAAATAAAAGTTTGTATCTACATGAAGCAAGATGATATAGAGATTAATGTCACAAGTTTTCCTTTCCTTTTTGAGTAAGACTCTTTTAACTTCACAGTCCTTTCAAGAATTCAATGTTTCATATAATGATTCATAGACCTTACATGGTTTCAAATTTAACTACTTCAACTATTAACCGCCAAGATTTTAAGCCAAACATTGAATAAGTTATGTAGATAGCATGCCTAGCAAAGCAAACATGACATTCTAGCCATTAATCAAAAAATATTGATCCAAATCCAAAAAAAAAGCCCCAAGATGGAATTCCACTCACTTGAGCTATAAAAAGTTGTCTAATAAGTGTAATAGCTGGCTGCAAAAAAATGGCAAAATCATTACCAACTAACTAAAACAGTTTAATAAAAATAGTCATTCTATACCCTCTTACTTTGAATTTCTTACCTATAAAGAGTTGTTAACAATATCAACTGGAAAACAAAACTTTCTAAGAACATGTAAAAAAAAGAAATTAAACCATTTCATCTAAGGAAATAATCACAAGTTCCAATGCAAAACAATGAAAAGTATAGAATATTGGATCTCAAGTCAGGATCATTATTCAGCGGAGCTGCTTACAAAGACCTAACAACTTCTTAATCATGACTTCACTAGAATTTTAGGGAATACTTCAACAAGAGGCAGACATTTCTCTCCATAGTCCATTTCTTGAACACCTATGAAATAGGAGTAAAGATACTAGAAAATTACAGTTGACTTCTGGTAGAAAGAAAGAAAAAAAAATAGAAAAATAGAGACCCTAAAAGTGTTTACTTGAGCAAAGAATTTCAAATCATTCATACTTGATATCAAATCCCTATCCCTCAACATATGGAACTTATTAAAGAATAAAACAAAATTTAATCAAGAGAAAAAAGTATGCATAGAACAAGAGTGGAGAAGCTAGCAGTTCTCAAAGAGAAAGAAAGAAAGAAAGATAATAATAGAAGGGACTTTTCAGACAAAAGTATCGAGTAGGAGGGGATTGAGCTTGATTAGTCTTCTTAGCATTGAGCCAAACCCCTCCATTGCAGACACAGAAATTTAAGGAAAGTCCTCTAGTTTTGTAACTCCCAATATTTTAACTCACCAGCAAAGAGGAAAACAATAGGTTTTTGCACAAAAAGAAGAATGGAGAGATTTTTTTTTACCCAAAGGATATAGGAGAGATGGCTTTGAGGTCTTTCTATCAAATTTTCTCATAAACAATTTGAGGAGAAATAACTCCAGAGCACCTCTTCCCATTCATCAGATTCTGCATCAACCAATCCAACAATTCACCATTCATATAATTTTTTTGCTTTTTTACCACACAGACAAACGTATAAAAAAACCCTTGTTCCATTTTTCCACTTCACTAGATGTTAAGAAAAACAAAAAACTAAAACACAAGATATAAAAGACAAAAGAAAGAAACTTTTGGGAGCTAAGAAATAGAGATTACATGAACAAACATGCAAAATGCTTTATTTCTAATTCTTAAAAACCCAGGGAACCAAAAGGATTTGTGGGTAAAATAATTACTTTTGAGACTAATGTTTTCATTAAAACATCTCGAACCATAGAAGAATGTTGAAACCTCCATTAAAATTACCATTGCTTTCTTTTTAATCTTCATCATCTTCTTCCACCTAAAAATGGATAAGAAAATTCAAGCATCTCTCCACATCCAAATTAATCTAATAAAAAAAATATTGAAAAAGTTCAGCTAAATCCTTTAGAGAGAGAGAGAGAGAGAGAGAGAGAGAGAGAGAGAGAGAGAGAGGAAGCATAGAAGAAATAGTTTTCTAATACT